TATCCACTACCACAAATATAGTGGAAAACCCTTGCGAAGGGTCTAATTGCACAAATATAGTGGAAATCCATTGCTATATCCTCCCAAATTTGTTGTGGAGTTGGCAATGGTTGGAGCAGTCCAACAAGAAGGACATTATCTATTTTAGCTTTTTGACAAATAGAGCATTCTCTCACAAATTTTCTAATATCATAGGGCATACCCTTCCAATAAAATTGAGCACCAATCCTATTAATTGTTTTATTAACTCCAACATGGCCACTAATTTTTGACCCATGAAACTCATGTATAATCTGCTGTAATAATGCAGCATCCTTAGGAAACACAATTTTTCCTTTGAACATTAATAAGCCATTTTGAACAGAATATTCGGTTAAAGGGTACTTTCCCTGTAAACAACTGTTATATATTAGCACCAATTCAGGGTCTGTTTGAGTCATGTCAATGACTTTATTCATCCAAGAATGAATAGGTCCCAAGATTTCCATAAGAAAACTCCTGGATAAAGCATCTTCAGGGATGTTTTCTTTCCCTAGCTTGTATTGAATAGTGAAGTCATATCCTAGGAATTTAGGAAGCCATTGTTGTTGTTCTAGAGTTTGCAATCTTTGCTCCAATAATTCCTTTAAGCTTTTTTTTATCCGTTTTAATAACAAACTTCTGGCCAAGAAGATAGTGTCAAAACTTGGCCTAAGCTTCCATAATGGCATAGAATTCGCGAGCATATGCGGATTATTTCTGCATCCGCCTAGATAATTTCTTTGAGAAATAAGCAATAGGATGCTTGTTTTGACTTAACACGACACCTATTCCACTACTTGAGGCATCTGTCTCCAATAAATGGTTCTGTAAAATTAGGCATGGTCAGCACCGGTGCAGATGTCATGGTCACTTTTAGATTTTGAAAAGCTTGAGCAATAACTTCCATCCACTTAAAAGAATCCCAACGATGATGCATAATCTCTTCTTTATCTAACGTTTAAATTTGCTTGGACAATTTCTATGATGCATTGTAATAATTGACTTTTACTTTAGCTAGTTTGTAACTATATACTGATTATAACTCTGTTTTTAAATATTATGCTATTACTCTTTCAATTGCATGTTTAACCTTTTTTTTATTAAGTCCAAGGGGGAGAAAGAGTTCAAAGGGAAGAAATACTAATACTGCTTATTGACACTACTGAGAAACTTTCAAAATTTTCATTTTTTATCTTTGGTGGTTGGCCATCATAAAAAAAGGGGGAGATTATTGATAAAGAGGGAAGATATTTGAAAAATCTCTTTTTTGATGATGTCAAATGATAGATAGGTAGTTAGTATAGTTAGTTTGTATAAAGTCAAAACAATCTAAACTTTGAAAGTAAAAATAATAAATTATGTTAAAACTAAAGCGCTAATAATCGATTAAATAAAAGGATAATCAATTATATGACTTAAAATTAAGTTTTCATAAGACATGCTAATAATCGATTATGTGGTTACTTAATCGATTATTTGCCAAAAATTTTGTTTTAACACAATGCGCTAATAATTGATTATGTAAGCACCTAATCGATTATCTGACTATTTTCAAATTATCATTGCACTCAAATAATCTATTAGATAAATTTGTTAATCGATTATTTGTGACAGTTATAACAGTTTTCGTTCTATAAACGGATGTAAACTTTCTTTTATCTATTTCAACTTTCAAATACAAATTAAAGCAATTAGAAAGAATGTTTTGGGCATCAAGGAAAGATCATAATTCTGCAAAAGATTTTGAAGATCAATTTCAAAGAAAGGTTGTTTGGCTATAGGGTGCTTTATTTTGTAAATTCAAGGTGAATTTGTTTCATATATTTCTTTTGTATCTTGTTTTTAAGTTTTGATGTATGTGAGACTAGTTACATCAGTGTAACTTGAAAATTGTGAGATAGAACATTTTCAAGTATTGTGTTCTTGATTAGAGGTTGTTGTATATCGATATCATTTGATCAGGTTATAATCTGCTTTAATGTGAAAAACTTCAAGTTAAGGTTGTTTGGTTAAAACTAGATGTAGATTCAAGAGAATCGAACCAGTATAAATTTGTGAGTCTTTTCTTCTTTTCCCTATCTTGGTATTCTTAATTTGTGAAAATTATAATATTTTTTTGGTAATTGATTATCAGATAAAGTTCTCTAATAATTGATTAGAAATTCAAAAGGTTTGTGAAAACTCAATTCACCCCCTTCTTAAAAAAGTTCTATCATTAACATTTTATTAACACAATGATATATTCAATTAGTTATTTTAAGTATTGATGAACAAGATTAAGTTTCCAATGAAATTTAAGATTTTTGGAGTTATTAGGTGAAAGAAGCATAGTAAGAAAGTGGTAAAAGAAACTAGTCTTTTTTCACTTTCATAATACCTAAATATGATAGAGTGACTTGATCACTATGTTTATTTTGCAATAATTAAATTGAATATAGGTTAGGTTAGGACAAGTTGCCTATTTGAATATTGACCGGTGAATTCTAGGATATGTAGAAAGAAATTAGTATTTGACTTAAGTTAGAAAGAGCATTTTGTTTTTGGTGAATATTGGTAGAAATGATAACGAATGAGTTTGGGTGCCTAGGTGGCACAATGAGACTTTTAAGGTAGGAATTTTTGCTCTTAACTGAGAGAGAGTTCTCACTCAAACGATATAATTTTATTTAAGTAATTTAGAGGAAAGTATGAGATTTGGAAGAAATCTTCCTCAAACAAAAATTTGATTTTGAATTTAAGCGTTTAAAAATGTTACTTTGTGTACCTTACTTGAATTTTTATGAGAATAAGCTAGCAATGTGATGTGAAGAGTATGATATTTATTAATATTGTATGATTTTGTGATGTAACACGCTAAATTAGGAATTTATTAGGAGATTTTCTCACTTAAAATTTGCATTGGAAATTTTATTAATAAAAGGTAATTTTAAATGTTATAGGAAAATTTACATTGCAATATCACAAACTCACGAGCGTAATTCTTATATCTTAAACAAACTAAATAATTTAGATTTTTTGTTTAATAGCTCAAATTAATAAACTATTAAAATATTAGGGATAATTTTTGTTCCTTTTTATTTCTTAATTTATTTATTATCTTTGTAATTAATTAATAATAAATTCAATCTTTCAAATTTTAAAAATATATAACTTTAAAAAATTTTACATTTAAATTTATAGTTTAGTGTTGATGTTTTTCATCGTTGTAATATATATATATATATATATAGTGTGTGTGTGAAACAGAATCTTATCATAAGTTTTTATAAATGCTCTTTTCTTTTTTCATATGTGAAACACAGAAAAAACAAAAAAAAAGGCAACAAAAGATTTAACATTGAAATACTATCTTATGAACCCATTTTATCATCTTTCTTAGTTTAAACTCTCCATTACCCCAAATGCATAGTTATGGAACACATAGTGGTCAATTTGAATATTTTTGGGCAAACACAGAGTTGCACGCTGGCAACATATTCAACTGGTTTGGTGAACACTATCTTTATTCTGGTTGGTCACCACAGTGCATTTTGGCACGCCTCATTAACTATGGGAGGCTAATCGAGTAGCCATCTTCCTATGTTAACAAAATCCAATAATTATGATATTCAAAGTTATAATCTTTTGAATAAAAATAAGAAAGTCTATTCGTCAAATAACCCGATAAATCAAATACGAAATAGAGGTGAGTGTTAATATAATTATAGTTGAAAAAAATGTTTTTATTTAAAGTATATTGTTTTAAGTTAAATGTAATAAGATTTTTTTTTTCTTAAATAATTGAGTGGTGAATATTTTGGTGTATTGATCCTCTAAAAAATATCCAATAATAATCACAAATTTTAGTAAAGGACATGAAATGAAGCCAAACACACGTTTTGTTTCGTAGCAAATTGTTTGGCACTCTAGAAGAACACTCTTTGCTTGGTTTATACTCTTAAACTAATTTGCCTCGTTTTAACCATTTGCTTGATTTTATACACACCAATACTATGCAATGTGGTGACAACTGGCCCTGTGGGGCTCATAAAGAGAGATGTAATGTAACACAACACAACCTCTAAGATGTCTTAGATTCCTAGTGGTTCAAAGTCCCTTTCATGGCTTAAACGGTCAACACCAATTTGGAAAATAACTACCATACAATCTACTTCTTCCTATCAATCCGGCGATAATAAGCATCCCTTGGCTGCCCTTAAAGGTATAGCCTACTAATTATTATGTACATTCCACAAATTACATCACACTTAACACCCCATAGTTACATTCATTTCATCAACCTTTAATCATTAAGGAAGGACAATTATGCAGGGTAACCTCTTACATAATTATGGAAAAATTATTTTCTGGGATTGTCATTTTCTCACTTTCACTTTCCTTTCCTTTCATATATATTGTTTTCATAATAAACTAAGCACTTCAATTTGTGATTGTGTTTAGCCTTGCATGGCCCTGCCCTACTACTACCTATAAAATGTAAGTTGGCATACATTGGGAGAGTGTCAGTTAAGGTTTTAATAAATTTTAACATAAAGTATGAGCTGGAAAGTTTATATTATGGCTTTAGAATAATTTTTTCTATATAAGAGATTAAATAAAATTATTTTTATGAGAGTTAAGGACACAAGTTTATTGTAGTTTTTTTATCCTAAAGCAAGTTTGTCCCAACTTATTGAACTGGAGTAGATACTAATTTCAGACATTTTATTAGAGATAGTAGTTTATGAAAAAAAGTTAATTTATGTTATTTTATTAACATATGATTGTTTGGAAGATTATCCAAATAAACAATAAATTCTATATTACAATGATTTTTTGAATCATTTGGAGGTTGTTGTGATTAAGAAAGTGCATAATTTTTTAGCAGTTGAACTAAAAGCCTCTTCTAAACAACTGCAGGCCCACCTCCAAACTAACCCAAAACACACATTTTCCCCTCTCTCCCTAATATTGTATACAAAGTGCTGATTGGCCAAACCATGGATACAGAGGAGTTCAGTTTCCCAAGAATCACTGATACTTGTTCACACAACATTGATTCACCTCCTCTGTGGAATCTGTCACCAGCAGCCTCTCCTAATCCCTACCAAGGAAGCAAAAGAGCAGAAAATGATTGCTTTGGAGCAAAACTAGTTGCTGAGGTTCATAGAAAGAGTTTTTCTTGTGTGGAAGATAGAAGGAAAAAGATTGGATTGGACGAGGAAGAGGAGGACAAAATGGACTTGTTGTGGGAGGATTTCAATGAGGAATTGTATTCAACAACAACAGGTTCTGCTACCTCTTCTTCAAGGGAAGTTGTTGAATTGAGATGTGCTCAAGGATTAACAGTTGCCAAGAGTAGTAACAGTCATCTACTCCCCACTAAGAACAAGGCAGCCATGCTGGTGATTGTGAAAGTCATGAAGAAGCTTTTCTCCATCCATAATTCTCAAGGTAGATCAAGAAAGAAGGTGAGATAAATGATTATTTTTTTGTCAGAAAGGTAATGACAATTGGGGTTCTGAATATGGTTGACTTAGAAAAATGGAAGAATTTTATTACTTTTTAGTTCATGAAAATTGTAGTCGATAATGGTGCATTTTCCCATGCTAATGTGAATATAAATTACACAAAATATTTGTTTGATTCATTGTTACAGTTCACAATGTGTTATTTCATATATTTTGATGATTTTTGGTGTTACAGCATAGTCGAAAACTAACTAGTAAGAACAGAAACATATGCAGAAATACCAGTTCAGAATACTAAACTCTGATATTAAATAATTGTTAAATTTTAGGTGAGTGAACTTAGATATAGCTTTTGATAAATCGACATTGTTTTTCTAAATCAAATAATCACGAAAGAAACAAATCAAATTTTCCAAAACTAATGAATATTTCAAGCCAGTATTACTGTAGCAAACTAAAGGAAAAATAATTTTTATCCTTTCTTGTACTAATCTATGAGTATGTAGCACAAAATCAGTACTTAAAAATTGAACTGTTAGAACTGGAAAGAGAAATTACAAGAAGTATAGGAACTGAATATTATTATCAAGAATCAATGTGTTACAGGATAAAGAAGTGGTAATATTGTCGATAAAGAGATCAGATTACAATCAAAACTGAATGTATAAAGAGGAAGAATTTTCCCAACGGATTCCAACTATCCGTTCCAACTAACTTTTCCCAAAGTCCCCCAGATATCTTTACAGAGGAGCATCCCCTCATATTTAAATCTTTTTCCTAACTAACTACCATCACCATTTAGCTAATTTTGCCTCTACTTACAGCCTGGAGCCCGTCTGGAGTACACGTGTTTAATTGGAGGTATTGGCCTTACTAGCTGACGGACTCTATCAATACTCCCCCCTATGAGAGCTAACTTGTCCTCAAGTGGAAACTGTGGAAAACTGGATTGTAACTGGGATACACTCTCCCAAGAACTATCACAAGGTGGCAGATCCGCCCACTGAACTAACACCTCTATCTGCCCTTGTTGATTATGTCGCCACTGTAGTAATTCTTTAGGCTGGACTTGTAATTCTAACTCCTCACTCAACATTGGTGGCAAAGGTTGGATTTGTTGAGTGGATTTAATAGCTTTTTTTAGTAACGATACATGGAAAACTGGATGCACCCTAGAATGCTCTGGTAAAGCTAACTTATAAGCCACCTCTCCAATCTTATCAAGCACTTGATAAGGACCATAGAATTTAGCTGATAGCTTGGCAAAAGGTCTGCTAGCCAAAGATTTCAATTTATATGGATGCAGCTTCAAATAAACCCAATCACCTACCTCAAACTGCACTGCTCTCCTGTGCTTATTGGCTTGAGATTTCATTAAATCTTGTGCTCTCAATAAATTTTTTTGCAATTCTGATAACACTGCATCTCTCTGAAACAACAATTGATTGACTTCTTCCACTTTAGAAGTAAAAGTGCAGCCCTTAATCAACATAGGAGGGTCTCTGCCGTATAGAGCCTTAAAAGGGGTCATGCCAGCTGAACTATTGTAGTTGGTGTTAAACCAAAACTCAGCCCATGGTAACCAATCAACCCAAGATTTAGGTTTTGGTCCTATAAAGCATCTCAAATAAGTTTCCAGACTACGGTTGACTACCTCAGTTTGGCCGTCCGTTTGAGGGTGATAAGTCGTGCTAAGTTTAAGTTTAGTACCCGCCAACCTGAACAATTCCTGCCAAAATTGGCTGAGAAAAATTTGATCTCTATCAGATACTATTGATGATGGAAAACCATGAAGCCTGACTATTTCTTTTAGGAAAACAGTTGCTATTTCCTTAGCCGTATAGGGGTGTCCCAGAGGAAAAAAATGGGCAAATTTGGTCAGCCTGTCCACAACTACCAAAATGGTGTCTTTCCCTTTTGATCTAGGTAAACCTCCTATAAAATCCATAGAAATATCTTGCCAAACTTGTGTAGGGATAGGGAGAGGCTGCAGTAAACCTCCAGGGCTCAAGGTTGAATATTTCGTTCTTTGGCAAACTTCACAGGCTTCAACGTACTTTTTAATATATCCTTTCATACCCTCCCAATAGAAAAAACTGGATACCCTTTTGTAGGTTCTAAAAAAACCAGAATGACCTCCCGTAGGGCCATCATGGCATTCGGCCATAATGCTAGGGATACAATTAGAATCTTTGGACAACACCAATCTACCCTGATACAACAGCTTACCATTCTTATAAGTATACCCAGAATGAGCCTCTGGATTTAGGAGCAAATCCTGAACGATTCGATGCCACTTAGGATCTGATTGGACCTCCTCTAACCACTCCTCAACTTCTGTCATATTAACCACTGAGAGTCCAGAATACATCTCTCTCCTAGAAAGAGCATCAGCCACTGTGTTTTCCTTTCCAGGTTTGAATTGAATTTCAAAATCAAACCTTATTAACTTGACTGCCCATTTAAACTGCTCCTCACTGAAAAATCTTTGACCATTCAAAAATTTCAAACTTCGTTGATCAGTCCTAATTATAAAATGATGGCCCATCAGATAATGCTTCCATTTTTGAACTGCTTGAACCAACGCCATAAGCTCCCTTTCATAGACTGATTTCTGTTGAGCTTTAGTAGAGAGGCCTCGACTCCAAAAAGCTAAAGGTTTCCCTTCTTGCATCAAAACAACTCCAATACCCTTACTAGATGCATCCGTTTCTATGATAAACACCTTGGAAAAATATGGGACAGCTAAAAGTGGCAAAGCAACCATAGCATTTTTCAGTTGTTGAAATGCTGCAGTAGCCTCCTCGCACCAATAAAACCTGTCTTTCTTAAGCAAATCAATAAGAGGTTTGGCTATTTTGCCATACCCTTGAACAAACCTTCTATAGTACCCCGTGAGTCCAAGGAATCCTCTTAAGCCTTTAACATCCTTTGGTATAGGCCAATTTCTCATAGCCGCTACATTGGCCTCATCAGCAGCCACACCCTTCTCTGAAATAACATGCCCCAAATATTCCAAGTTTTTCTGTCCAAAAGTACACTTCTTCAAATTAGCTTTTAGAGAATTATCCCTTAAAGCTCGCAGTACTTTTTGCAAATGGTCTATGTGAAATTGCTCATCTTGGCTATATACCAAAATATCATCAAAAAATACCAAAACAAACTTTCTCAAATAAGGTCTAAGAACCTCATTCATCAATGCTTGAAATGTTGATGGCGCATTGGTTAAACCAAATGGCATGACAACAAACTCGTAGTGTCCTTCATGAGTTCTAAATGCTGTCTTTGGTATATCCGTCTCCTTCATTCTTATTTGATGGTAGCCAGATTTGAGATCAAGTTTGGTGAAAATAGAAGCCCCTCCAATCTCATCCAATAACTCTTCTATGATCGGAATAGGGAATTTATTGGGAATAGTAATTTTGTTTAAATCTCTATAGTCCACACAAAATCTCCACCCTCCATCCTTCTTTTTGACTAATATGATAGGGCTAGAATAAGGACTGATGCTATGTCTTATAACTCCTGCCATCAACATTTCCATCACTAGTCTTTCAATCTCCGTTTTCTGATAGTGAGGATACTTGTAAGGCCTTAAATTTGGAATTACAGATCCCTCCTTCAAATGAATTGCATGATCATGTCTTCTACTAGGAGGTAGACCCTGTGGATCTTGGAAGACATCCTGGAAACCTTGCAACAATTTCTACACAGGAGCTGGAATTTTCTGCTCAATCTTTTCCGAATTATTTGTTGTCCCACATTGCAACAACAGACCTTCCCCCTCTGATTGGAGCACTTGCATGAATGCCCCAAAAGATAATTCAGTCTTGGTCATAGCAGGATCCCCTATCACCTTGATCAACTCTCCCCCTTGTCTTAAAGTCAGTTCAAGTTTGCCAAAATCTGCCTTAACTTCTCCCAAACTGGATAGCCATTCCAACCCTAAAACCGCATCAATTCCTTTTAGTCCAAAAAGATAGAAGTCTTGGACTATTTTGATCTGTTGCATCATCATCATTAACTGAGTACATTTTCCCTTGCATTTAATTTTATGTCCATCTCCCACCTCCACTATGTATGACGGTGTGTCTTCCACTCTCAACTCCAGCTCCACCAGTTCCTTTGCAATAAAATTGTGTGAAGCTCCACAATCAATCAGGATGATAATAGACTTATCTCCAATTTTCCCTCCTACCTTCCAAGATTTGGTTGTAGTGAATCCAGTCATTGAACACAAAGATAATTGTAGTACATTGAAATTTCCCAGCACAGTTTGATTCTCATATAAGCCTTCCTCCTCTTCATCCTCTTCTAAAATAATCATCCTTAATTGTTTATTTTTGCACCTATGCTCCCAGCTAAAAGGCTCATCACATCTGAAACATAACCCCTTTTCTCTTTTCTCCCTCATTTCAGCTTCGGTGAGATGTTTAAACTCTCCTCCTCTGCTTCTTGGTCCCTCTCTTGACTGTCCTGAATTTATTTGTGGAACCTTTACCCCCAAACTCACAGGTTCTGTCTTCTTGTCAATCATATTCTTAGATTCCAGCATCACAGTTCTATTATAAGGGCCACTTCTATCATTGCCATACGCTCTAAAATTTTGCGAATTATTCTTCTTGTTCAAAACCACATTCTTTTGTTCAATCATCAACGATTTTTGAATTACCTTAGAAAGTGTGTTGGGTTCATAGAGTCTCAACTCTACTTGTAATTCTTCCTTGAGTCCGTTCATGAAAATGCCTTTCACAAATTCTTGATCTATCTCCTTCAACGCCCCCACATATTTCTCAAATTCTTCTATAAATTCCTCCACGGTTCCTGTTTGTTTCAAAGACAACAACAATTCGAAAGGATTTTGAATCATAGATGGCTGGAACCTCCTGATTACTGCATACTTAAACCCCTCCCAATTAGGGTTTGGGTTGCATCGTTCCCACCACTGAAACCATCTCAATGCCCTTCCCTCCAAAGCCATCATAATAGCCTGCATCTTTTCCTCATCA